GAGCTATGTTACAGTTTTCCATCTCGAGTGGTATTAACAGTCAAATACCAAATAGGATTAGGAGGTAAAAATCAGTACTTTTGTCTCCAGATCATTGGTACATAAAGTTGATTACACAAATACAAACATGAAGCTTAGCAGTCATGAAAACTGAATTTAAGATGTTGCGTTTGCTTCAAAATCTTGCTGTGAATTTCTCTGTTGCTACACTCACAATTTTCCATAATGTGGAATAGTTTTATTTCTCTTGTTTTACAACCACCACCCCCTCGTCTTACATAACAGGCATAACTTAGGCTGTCCTCTTGAAGGAAATGTATGTTTGTAATCTTTCATTTCTAACAGCCTTAGGTACTTGTTCTTTGTGGTGAAGAAGTAGCATGTTTTAGTATATGTATGATTAAAATGTTTTCTGGAAGGGAGAGGAAGAGAGACTGTAAATTTTAAACAAAGCTCTTAATTCATACGTTAACACAGTGTCAAAGTCCAAAAGGTTGCATTTTGAGAGGTGAACCAGAACTGAGATCTAGCACTATATACAACTGATGTAACCCAAAACATTTTCTGTCCGTCTAGGCCTTTAGGTTGTTCTACTAGTAGGACAATTGGTATCATTTGTAAAATTTGAATCCTGAAGGAGATCAATTTTTTGGTTTTGTATTTGAGGCTTGGTGACTGGATATAAGTTTAAATTACTTCTGTGCTTTTACGAAAACTAGGCTTTTGGTCTAGTTTTCCAAAAAGACCCAGCACCTTTAGAGGTTGTCCATGTATTTTGAAGTCTTGTCCTTTCTTTTTGTTGATTTTTCCCTTGAGCACCTGCTAGTTTGAAGATGTGCATTTTAATAGTTATGTAGACTAGGTGCCTGGATGGGTGATGCACCTTCTCTTTGCCAGGCTGGGACAGCGCTTTCTGCACTGTGGGAAGAACTACATGACGTTTGTCCCTTTCCTTCAGTTATTCGTGAGGAAGAACTAAGCCAAATTTGATCTCACACATAATGTTCGCGTATGTGTTTCATGCTATCTGTTTTTTCAAACGCGTTCTGCTCCAGTGTGTGTATTTTGATTTAATCTTCCAAATGTTTTTCTGAAATGTGTCATTCAGACCTGCCAGCCATGCCTTCCAAATACAAAACTCCTCCGGTTTTGATGTTTTGTGATTTATTTTTAGAAACGTAACAGTTCTGCCTCTTTTGCTTGAAGATAGTAAAAAAATATGTTGGAATTTCCCATTTTCCTCTGAGACTTCAGTCACAGTAAATGTCACTATGTGATGTGATATAGGCAACCTCGGTTTGGCTCTTAAGAACATTGTTTGACGTGTGCTTAAACTGGAGCCCGAGAGATTTTGGATGAGCTCAGTTATCTTTTTCCTTTGAAGAGTGCTTAGCATCCTTACCCTAGCTGGCTATGCGTTTAGATTTGCCAAAGATTTGCAGTTCTGTGGGCAAATGATATTTATACAGCATGACAGCAGAGGGAGAGCATGGAAACCAGGAATTTCTCTCTACTGGAGGGCCTATAAGAGTCCAGATCATCCAAAACAGGGGATAATGGTAGCGTAGGAGTTGTGTGGTCTCTGGCAATTGGAGCACTGGACACGCAGAGTATCTGCTGCAACCTGCATTTCCAAAGCCAGAGGCAGGACTGTCACCACAGGACCCTTTCTCTAGGGGGCTGGGAAAGTAACACCAGGAATAGGCTATATACAAGCTGATACGGACAAGCAATAAATAAAGCATTTCTGTGCATTTCTTAGTAAGCTCAATCCTTGTACCAATCAAATAGGATCTGAAGGCACTAGTTCTGACATAGGCAAGATCCAAATGGAGTGACTTCCTTCACTTTATTTACACGGAGGTGCAAGGAAGACATACATGCATCCACACACAGAAAAGTGACAGTTTTAACATCCAAAGTTGGTTTATTTTGCAAAGGTAGCAGACCAATATGCAAAGATATTCAGGAAGCAAAGGGAAAGTGGTGCAAAGGGAGTATAGTTGTCAGTATCTTAATAAAGGCTTTTGTCACGCTGGTGGACCTGGCAAAGTGCTACCTGTGGCTTCTGCTGTATTTTTTGGGCAAAGCGTAGAGACAACTGTGCACCTCAGTGAACTATGATAAGCCATTACCAGCTTGAATTTGTTTTCTGTTGACTGAATGCCACAAAACTACTGTATAGATCTCACTTTATTTACTGTTTCACGTGCAGTCTTTGCTGAATTACAACATTTTGATTGCTTATGAAATAAGGAAAGGTGTTGAGGTGACAATTGAACTGGTGCGTATATATATGCATTTACTTCAGAAACATGAGGAGGTTTGTTTCTGTATGTAGAAAAACATCAATAACTGGAGCAGATTGATTTTAAATCCATGAATTAAAATAAGTAATTTAGATATGTTTCATATTAACAAGCAAGAAATTTGATATGAATAATTTAGTTTAGTCCTGTGTTGAATTTGAACTTTCTAGTCATTTTCCAAAGGCAAGGTTGTTTCTTACTGGCTTATAACATTGAAAAAATTGTTGATATCCAGCCAGTTGCTTAATTTTGGGTGATATTTGGTACTTTTGTATACAAATATGAGAGGGACTTTATTTTGTATAATTTGTCTGATTCAATATGTTTGCTCTGATCTCAGTTTTCTAGGTCTGTACATATGAAAATGGTGTATTTCCAATTAGGTAGTTAACTTTCACCTAAGATTTATTTAACCTTTTGTTTGGGTAGAACTTTTAAATTCAATTAAAAAAACCTTCATAATCAGTGCTTTTAATTAGCTCTGTCCAAGAAATTAAAATATGGGTATATATTAAAAAGATTTTACAAGACGTCTTTTGAATACAGTTCCCTCTGTAAGCAGGGAAGGTATTACCCATCATCCAGTGCATCAGAAACTGTTTCTGATATGTATGGTCCTTTAGATATTCAAGGATGATAGTTACTAGTACTGGTTTTTAATCGTTGGTTCAAGGAGGAAGATAACACTTCCTTATTCACTTTCAACAATCAAGTTGTTAATTTTGGTTTGTGTAGTTAATTTTAAGACACAGTTTTCTCTGTAGCCGTAGAAGAGATTATTGCTGTCAAAGGCTGCTTTTAGCACTTTAGTATACAGTTTTCAGGTCGTCTTCTGGTGACTGAATTCCATGAGACTTTTCAATGCAGTTTGCCTTGGTAGCAAACACCTACTGGCTGAACTTGACTTCAACATTCTTTTTGATTATTTTAATACTTTATACTAAGCCTAGACCTCAACATCTGTAGTTTGCATTTCAAAGGTAGTGCTAATTATGTTGTCTAATTATACTTTGTTTTTTAAATGACATTTAATGTCTTTTAATTGCTCTCTGTTTTGATAAGGATCTTTGTGAAAGTAAATTCCTTGGAGTAGGGGAACCATGGCTTATTTTGAGGGTTGAATCAGAACTAGAGAATTGTGTAATTGGGCGTATTGGATTACAGTCATGTACATTTATTCAAAACAAAACTTTAGGTCAAATTAGTAACCGTGACAGAGTAGGCTAACACCAGTAAGTGATTGTTAAGGAGACCTTTCAAGGCTTTTTAGCCTGTCTTGCACCGATGAGAAAAGTGAGAATATCAAGCTTCCTTGCTGCGTTTGAGCTGTCTATGACTTTTCCTCAGCTATTCAAAAGCACTATTTAACCCTTTTCCAAGTGTCCAGCTAAGCTAACCTGACACTGAGTTGTCCTCAAGAGAGGTGGCCTCCCTTGTATTTTCCCTTCTGCTGGTTGAAGCAGATTAACTGGCCAAAACAAACCAAAACCTCCTAATCCTACGGAAAAGCTTGTTAAGAAATCATTTGATTATCATTTGATAGCTAGTGCTGTTGGAGACAGTAAAGAAGAGCTGCTCTTTCAGGTGACCGTCAGCTGGTACAGTGCTCATCTGTGTTATAAAACAGCCCTCCCTGCAAGCAGTTGTGTATGCTCTTCTTCACTAAAGCAGTAAGTGTAAACCTGCTTAGTTAGTAAATCATACTGTGTGTTCTGTAGTGTCAGGTGTTGAATAGTTGTAGAGACATGATGTAAATATCGCACAGAAATGGATTAATTCACAATTGTTGCCAAAATGTTTGAAGAAAGTAGGAACTTCTTAGGTCTGTTCATTGCAGGGAGTGGAACTGAATATGGGATGACAGTCTGGTTAGAGGCAGTATTCTCATTTATTTCTTTGAAGAGTATGTGCAAACGTCAAGGTTAAGGTCATAACAGTATTGCCATGTTCTCACCCTTTTAATTCCTGGGTCTTCAAAATAAAATGCACCAAGGTGAAACAAGAAACTGGGGTAAGAGTGGAAGCTGAAGTTAATTTTAACTCGATCAGGCTGAGACAGCTCACCGGTCTGTCTGTCATTAACATGTAAGATTACTTTGCTTCCTGGTTAGGAATGAACAGAAACCTTTATTATACATTGAAAGAAGAGACTTGTCCTGTGAAGACCTTTGTGGACTCTGAGCTGTAAAATGACAGAAATCCAGTGCCTGCAGGCAGAAGGAACTACCCGTCGCAGCACGTACCTCCATCTTGTAGCAGCCCAGGGTTTGAAATAAGGGGCTTATCACTTAACGGCTTTCATGTGCGAGAGAAAGTACATGCACAGGGAAAACCTAATGTCTGGCACCATACACCCAGAGATTTTTAATATATGTGAAGGGGTTGCCTTCGTGACAAAAAGGGAGAGGCGTGTGTCTTGATGAAAAACGTGACTGGCAAAAGCTTTGTTTTTTTCGCTCCCCCTTACCCAGCAAATTGCCTGAAAGTGGATCATAAACAGCGATGCATCATTACTATTATCTCCCAGTATGACTCACTGAGCCATATATAGCAGCTCATCTTTTGAGGAGAATTCTTACTCAGAGCAAGTAGGATGTGGAAACAAATATTAAATGTCAGACTGTTATGTCATTCTTGCCTTAGAATTTCTTTCGTGGTAGATAAAACTGTCTAAAAATGGCTTGAACAGCAATGCCTGTTTGCATTAAGCAGGTATTGTCAGGTTAAAAATTCTCATTAGTTTTCTCCTGATTTGATGCTCTTATTTCCATATTTATGTCTTTTTGGGCAACAAGACCTTGTTTGTTGATTGCACTAGCAAATTCTTGGATATTTCAATATTTGGGTTGCTGGTAATGCAGGGTAGCAGGTGGCTTTTGGAGCATGCTTTAGGCTTTTTTAGCTTTGTGTTTTTAAGAGCTCTCTCCCTTTGATTGCCTGATCACGGCCCAAATTAATTCTCTGTGATTTCTTTCTCTTCTCTTTTAGTTGTAAATAAGCTGCTTGTGACATCCAAGTATGGCTCGTAATGTTGATCCCTTTTAAGATTCTTCTGTCCGCATTTTAGAAAGATTGGCTTTTTGGAATACAAGCAGCATCCTCCCTCCGTATTTTGCATTAATTTAGTACCTTGAAATATAGACTGCTTTTCTTGCCAAGAAAGACTAGCCAAGGCTTTCTTCAGGGCTTCAGTTATTGCTGCTGGACGAGCCTCTCCATCCTTATCCCCAGATGAACTCTAGCCTGAGATTCCAGAGCTCTGTTTTTCTGGTGCTGTGGCCAGTGTCACTTTTGTTCCATGAAAGTACTGCGTTGTTTGTGTATGTTGCATGTATGTTGACTCAGCTTTCACTTTAAAACAGTGCTCAAGATTTTTAGATATGCACTGGGAAATAAGAATCCTTTCTTGTGTTTTGTGATACTGACAATGTATTAACAAAGCTGTGTTAGTAAAAGAAATATTCCTGTGTTCTGTTACAGGTTTTGGGATTTGAAGTTGATACAGTGAACTCTGTCCAGTTTTCAAACCACACAGGTAAAATTTTACATGTCTCTTCAGATACTGCTCCACAGTCACTGAGCTGTACTGAACGTGTGGCTCACCTTATCACACGACAGTGGAAAGGACATCGGTCTTATGTTTTCACTCACGTTTTCAGGATATAGGATGGAAATGTAATTATCATATTTTGATTCAAATCTCACAGAAGTCTGGATTTGGAATTAGGGCATGATATGATGTGGTAATGTCCTGCTCTGCTACTTCAGAGTGTGAATTTCTTTTGTTAGGCAGTAATCTAATTAATTCAGACAGTGAAATAACACAAATAACAGCCATCTGCGCAGGCAGGCCTGTGAACAGGGGACTCTTCTGTACTGTTTTCTGTGTGTTATGGCCCTATGATACTCATAATCATATTCCCAACCCAAACATCAGAAGAATACTGAGATAGATGCAATGTTTCCTCTCTTTATGTGCTCACCCAGATAGCTAGCAAGTATCCTAAAATTACATTTTGGAGGGAGGAAGAGGGTGGGGTGTTAATACATTTGGGTGTATTTTTACTTGGCTTCTAAGCCTGAACAAGATGCCCTCACATAATTCTTTCAGACTTCCTAACACTCACAGTGTTATAGGATTTTATTTTTCAAAAGAAAGCTGAAATTTATGTTCATTTTAGCAATACCTTTCCCCCATAAAGAAGCTCCGAGTGACTGCTATTTTTTGAATCAGTAGAGAACATCTACTGGTCATGGTGGTGGCAGGTTGAGGGGAGATCTACTCTAGATAAAGAAATTCTAAGGGTGGCTTAAAATAATCCAGCAACAAATTCTGACTTCAACGTCTTCAAAAAGAGCAAAAATTGTTTCTGATAAAGAAAAAAAAAGGCAAAAGTTGAGATACTTTCCTAGTATCTCACAGGTACAGCTCTATTAATAAACTGCTAATTTTCAGAACAGAAAGCAGACCAGGAAGCCTCTGATCTATCTTACTATATTGAGCTCCATGCAGCTTTCAAAAAGTTATAAGATGTTCCTATCATGGAAGGAATTTAGTGTCACGCTGGGAAGAAGAAATGAATGTTTCAAAGGTAGCTAGAAAGCCATCTCTGCTTGTTGTGGAACTGCAGGAGAGAGCTAATTATTAAACAAGGGGTGGGGGTCTTTCCTGCCTCAGGCAAAAAGCTGCTTATTTTGCTTGTACCCTTTGGCACAGTACAAAGGTTCTCTCATGTTTATAAGAGATACTTAAATGTGACTTGTGTTTCTTTAATTTTTTTTTTTTTGGAGGTTGGCATTTTTTGTTGTTTAGTTTTTGATAGATGGGTAAAACTGTTGTAATCTTCTAGAAATGAAGAAATTTCTTCACGTGAAATAACTCAGCGCTCAAAATGGATGAGCACCTGTTGTTTGTTGGCTTTCAGTTTCAAGATTAAATCAGCTTTATAGGGCGTTAAAAGAGCTTAATGGAGGTTTTATTGGACGATAAACTGAATGTATCTGAAGGTAGAAAAATTACCAACAGGATGATCAGGTTCTTAAAACAGGAAAGAAGGAAGATTTGTTTTTTCGATCACAGCCAAAGAAAGGTTGCCAGTGCTTCATTTGAAGTTTGGCAGACAATGAAGATAGTAGAAAGAACAATAAATTAGTGACTACTTTTTTTTCCTCTAAGAAAACCTAAGTGAACATACCAAACCCATAAATGTTTCAAAGATCATGAGTCTTTAAAATATTTAAATTATTTGGAACTTTGTCTCCTGATATTTAGGAGTCACTTTTTTTTTTTTTGTAATCTTGATTGTCTTAGTAAATGTGTTTAAAAAAAAAAAAAATAAATCTCAAGGATTTGCACAACCTCCTGACTTTAGGAAGCAGAGCTTTCAGAAAAAAATCGCAATATGGGAAGTGTTTGGCACTTACCAAATGTGAGTAAAAGGAGATTATATTTAGAAGTACTGGTCATTTGGCTGAAAGAGGAAGGAATGGAAAAGAAAGGAAGGGCATGTATTCCCTTTTATGACAGGTCTAGTTTTCTAACACTGCAGTTTATCCATTAAATTCTTTCTACCCTTTCTTAAATTGAAGGATAGATTCTAAGCTCAGTGGCTTCGCACCTCCTCTTTGAGAGAGGCACATAGGAAGACTTTTCCCAGTTTGAACACTTATGCATACCTGCACACAAACTTGCACTAGTTCCTCCATATTAATGTACGTGCTGTCTATGCCACTGCAGGAATTAATGAACAGCAACTGCCGTGCTGGGCTGTGGCTTGCATTTGGAGCAGTGCGGCAATGCACAGCAATCGTGCTGCATGAAATGGTGAAGATAACTTGATTTTCCTACAAGAACAAGATCTTATGAGAACCCTTTCTGTGATCATCATTAAAGCTGAAGGGCAAATTTTTGCTTCAAAATCGGTGAACTCCAGTTTCTAAGAGAATGTGACATACTAGAGGGGGCACAGGTAGCAAAGTGTGTGAGGTTTCGGACATGACTTGCTTTCTTTCCCTATCCCTGTCTTTAAACCTGATCTTGTCAGCAAAAGATAAAACGCAGAGAGAATTTATGACTAACAGGCTTTTTTTGGTGAATCATTATTGCTTTTTTGTCCCCTGTTTTTAAATTAGTAAGATACCGTGGGCCTATTTCTGCTGACTTCTGCTCAGAAAATTCGGCTTTCTTTAGGGTCTGATAATCCTGAAATTCAGAAAATATGCTTTAAATCAGTCCCCCTGGGAGAACAGTTTGTCGTGTTGCATGGTGAGGAACTTTTATGATTAGAGTGACTCACCCTTGAATGGCATCATGCTTCATGTACAAATAAAAGAAGCTGTCATGCAACCTACAAAGATTCTGTGCTTTTTATTCTATTTTACTGTATTGTTTGCAGAAGCATCTCATTGTCTGATGTGCAAAAAATAAAAATGTAGATTTTTTTTTTTTATTCTATCGATTTTTTGCGGGGTGCATTTTTAATTCTTCAGTGATTTGCATTTTTGTTATTAATTGGTAGGTCAGTGGTAAGCATATGATGTACTTACTTTGCCATCCAAATCCTACTTTTGAAACTGTTCTGGAACAAATATCCTGGGGTTTTTTTCTGTTCGTTTTCTTTTCTTTTTATTTTTAAACAAAGCACTTTTGGACTTCCACTTAGCGGGTGTGCGGTGGGTGGTTGGGTTGGCTGGTAGATCTAATGCATGAGAAATTATAATTATGTCTCGTTGATGCGATTCTTCACAGTCTACCACCCATATGCAGTCATTCACAACTGTGCAGTGCGGGACAAAGAGAAAAGATCTCCACTTGTGCCTAACACTGGTAGTATTTTACTCCCACACTGACCAGCTGTAAAAAATCCAGTGGAGAATTCAGTACTGTATTTCTAGTTTTGTTGAAGGTACCCTGGTAGCTGAAGATTAAGTCATGTGTTTATGCCAGGTCGTCTGCCAGAGTTTGCATGTGAATTTTGTGGCACAGCTGGGACCAGATTGCCTGCCCATCATGTGCCTGGAACACTGGTTCTTTCTTCCTTTTTCCCATGTAAAATACTTGGTTACCGAAGCCACTTGGAATAGTTTTGCAGGGAGCACCACAGGAAGAACTCAAGCCTCAGAACAGAATGTTCTGGCTTGGAAAACAAAGAAATCGTAGATGCCTTGCTATACTTAAATGGTAGTTTGTTTTCTGTTTTGGGTTTTGTTTTGTTTTTTCCCTTCTGGTACGCCTGGGATTTTTATTCTTTTCTTTCTTCCTTGTTTTTGAAAGTAATTAAGAGGCTTATAAATGCATTCCAAAGGAGAAAAAAAAATGTACCAGTGAAAGAAGGCGAGAAAGAAAAGTATGTAAATTCATCTTTGGTGCAGTATTATCTGCCTCTCTTGGTTGTGTTTTTTTTTTCTTTTTCATACAGATGAACCGAGACATTTCCTTGGAGGCTAATGAGTATGTTTATCATTTCAGAGGGATAAGTGACAAGACGCATCATATCTTACCTGGTTTTTATTCCCTTATCTGCTTATAAGTAAATATATAACATTTAATTGCAATAAAAGGCCATAGCACAGATAAGCAGAAAGGGTATAAAATGTTTAAATATTTATGTTCATCTATGTGTTTAAAACTATTACAACTCTGGGAGACTAATGCAGTCAGTCTGAGCCAAGTGCAGTTTGGAGAGCTGTGTATCATGATTTGCAGTTTTCTCTCTGCCCTCTCAGTCCAGCACTGAGGGGAATTATTTGGTGGTTTTATAACCAAAACAAAGACAACTCAGCTTTTTTCCTCTGTAGAAAATACAAGCCAAGATCTCACCTTAATATTGAAGATAAGAGTAATAATTTGATCCAGCTGCTATGCCTAACCAGCTCTGTAGCCTCCAAATGAGATGCAGTTGCTTTGCCAAGTACAAACTTGAAACTCATTCTTTAGTTTTCTTGGCTGTGGTTCTTGTATAATGTGTGCAAATAGCCAGGTACTGTGAGACTTTGAACTTCTGTATTGTAAAGTGCCACAGTGGAAATATTACTGCAGAGTAGGAGTTATACTAAGTGGACAGTTAAACAGAAGATTTTAAGTTTTCTCTTGCTGTTTTTCAGGTATTCATATTTAGTGGTATAGGCATAGGGATAACATTTCTAGGAAGCTGACTTTCTTTTAGGTGTTGCAAGGTAGCTCTGGGCCTTCAAATGTGCGCACTGCCACCCAAGTTCTTATGTCTAGCTGAGGAAGACCGCTATTTCTCGTTATCATCCTTAACTCCAACCACTCATGCTTTTCCCTAAAGCCAATTGCATGTCACATGTTTAAGCTTGCTGTTGGCATTCCCTGCTAACTTAGCTTTGGGTTCAGGGCTATGCAGTGGTTTTTTTGACCACACAGTATCTGTCTTGATTTTTTGCCTTTCCTCTTTCAAGAGGACCCCAAGGTATCCATCCTTCAGTTAGTGAAACCCTTTTTGAACATGAGTAACTGGCTTTTTATTCTGTCCCTCTACAGAAGCTACTTTTTGGTTGTGTATTCCATCAGGAAAGCAGGATAAATGCAAGGTTGTGGAATTTGCCCCTTGTTCATCAGCTTACGTGAAGTTACCCTGGGGAAAGGGCTTAGGGTGGTTTCCATCTTGCTGCCTGTTTTGATTTTGTTTGTTTCTTCTTACTCAAACATAATTCACCTCCTAGTGAAATCATGGTACTCTGCAGATCCAGTGAAGGCATTGCCCTTTTTCTTCAGTCTGAATAACTGGAACTTCCCTGAGAGCTTCCCTAGGGCTTTTTTTCTCTCCAGCTATTGTGTGGTTAGACTTTAGGTTCTATTATGTGTGTTACCAGGTGGTGAAAAGGATCCTCTCAATACCCTTAGAAGTCATTGCTACAGAGTTTGGATAATATCCCTGCCCCATATAAGTAATTTACCAATTCCTGAGCTAAGCTGGGCTGCTACCTAACATTTTGTTTCCATATTAATTTCTCTCCCTCAGTAGAGGCTCCGTGTGACACAGACCCTGCGCGTTGGCTGTTTAAGACAGCTTGACATAGGAAGGTTAACTTTTGGTTAAATAGTGAATGTACAGGATCCCTCTGTAGGAATGGCTCCTGAGAGTATCCAGATTGTCTGTACAATCTCTCATAGTTATTTTTATGGCCATTTTTAAGATGAATGACTGCTCTTTTGCCAGCTGACCTTGATTCTGGATGAAAACTACACTCAGTTTCATTGATGGGCACAGTGGAATAAAAAGGACTCATATATTTGGGGCTACACGTGTGCCTAGGTGTTAGGCATTGCCGTTTTGAGTATCACTATGTTCTGCAATGGAACTACAACCCTAACATACAGGAATCCCTCACTTTGTCTGTTTCTTCACAGAGACTTTTTTTAAAAAGCATTTGCTAGGGAGAGAATTGTAGTGGCTGGTGTGAGTCAGTCCCCAAGCCAGCTGGCAGCGAGTCGTGTTTTAGAGGCTAGGCCTTCGTGAGCTGAGGAGAACAAAATGATCCATCTGCTCACCCTACTGTGGGTGTATTTGCATTCATAACAAGGAAAACTGAAAAATGTGCTTATCCTAGGCTCTAGGCACCTTTTGGCAGTTACTCTAATAACACAGTTTAGAGTGATAATCAAAGCCAACAGTTTTTATCACAGAATTTTCTGACTCCAAGAACAGAAGTTAAAATAAACAAAATACCATTGTCCTCACACGGGGGTGGTGTAGAAGAAGATACCTCATTTAACATCTTGCTTTTCCTAATTCCAGTCAATAAAAAGATAAGCTTTTTAACAAAGTCTGAATTTATGGAGGTTGGAAGAGTTAAATTGTGGGTGCTTCACCTACTATCCTGGAGGAAGACCCATTCTTAAATACAAGGAAGTGATGGGCAGGCTTTGATGACAAGGTGCAAGATACACTTAAATTTTTCAACAAATGTTTAGAGTCTGTCAAGGAAGATTTTTTTTTCTTTTTTTGCTTTGAAATTGGCTGCCATGGAGCTTGGTCCATTGTTTGCTGAAATCAGTTCAGCTTCTCCCAAGTAACTTCACCTTCCATCGGCTTCTCAGCCAAGAATATTGGCTTGTAATTCTTAGAGATCATTCAAAGGTAAGAGTGTATGGATATTATTTGTCTGTTTATAGTGTCTTTCCAATAATAACTTGCTTCCTCCAGGATCCTTAGCATTAAAACTGTGCTATATTTGGAAGAAAATCTGTCAGATGACTGTATGTTTAAAGAGTATCCATGGCAATGTCCTGCTGTGGTCACTCTATTCATTACATGCAGGTCCCAGGGACTGCCGTATCTGATGGGTGCAGCAGTACTGCATGCCTGTGTCCAGACAGATCCATCCAGCCTGTTTAAGCTTGTTATCTAGCTGTCAATATTTTTCTTTTTTTTTTTTTTTAGTATTAAATAAGAGAAATAAATTGCACTGACAGCCTTCACCAATGAAGTCTAGGAACATACGTTTGTCCCCCTCCACACAGGAAAGGGATAGTTGTATAGGCTCCATGGGAGAACTTGCAGGAGCTTGTGTGTGCTCTGCTCAATTTGCTGATAAATGGATAGTCTCAAACTCCAGTGTAGTCACTCCAGTTCCTTTAGGAAACAGTGGTGCTAAGAAGTAGTTGAGCAGGTTAACTATTCTGCCGACAGCAGCTTTCATTTGGGAACAGCGTTTCACAGAAGAGATGGTGGAAGTGCTTTCTGGTGCTTATATCCGATACAGTCCCTGCAAGTGTATGTGTGATCCTAAATAGAAAATCTAGCTCATGAAATATTATCTGGCATTTACTTTGCAGGTTATGCTCACTGGAAGGGTCAGGTGTTAAATTCAGATGAACTTCATGAACTGTATGAAGGACTTAAGCTGAACAAGGTCAACCGGTATGATTATGTACTCACAGGTAAGAAGACCTTGCTCCTTGGAATTCCCATGAGATGTAAACAAAAGTAAAAATATATAAGCCATATCCCTACTTACTCCAAACCAAGCAATTACATTTTCCCTCCTTTGATTCCTTCTGCGATTTCATCTGTATATTATAGTCTCAACTGCTCATGCTCTTTAGTTTGAAACAGCCAGTGTTCTCCAGCCTGAAGGTTGTGGTTGGATGGGTAAATTGACCCCCTTGTATAGTTTACAGACTTAGACAGGCCTATCATGTACAGGCTGAATTAATGTTTTGGGAGTGCCTCTGCTGAAAAAATAGATGAGAAACAGTAGAGTATGATTTTAAAATTTACTATGAAGACTTGAGTTTAACCCTTTCTACTAAATTTGCAGTACTAGTACTCTGCAGTACTGTAGCACGATTTTACGCAGAGTTGTCTGCCCCTGTTTTATCTACTTGATCTTTAAGGGGTAGTGCTTTGGATACAGAGCAAAGTATAAGCAGGGTTGGATTTTGGTTTTGACTCTCATATGTCTTAATTTTTTTGCGCTCGTTACTATGTGTAGGTCCTCCTGAGTGGATGCTGTTCTGCAGGACGTAATGGCTGTGCAGTGTTTTCCTTTGCTTGCCACTAGGTGCAAAGTGTTTATAAATACAGGCAAAGAGAACTTTTTGTAGAATGCTTTATAGAAAGAAGAAATTCTCTGTGCGGTTTTCGTTGAAAACTGCTTCTCATCCAATTCCTGCTTCTCAAATGTAGATAACAGATCAGGTTTCACCTCAGTAAGAGCTATGCATCTGGTTTAGATTACAGTATCAATTTTTTATAGCAGTGAACGGTGACTTTTTAAAGGTAAACAGAAATACATCACCAGATTTGTTTGATTTCAGGGCTTCCACATGTAGGAAAGTGCTTTATACACAGGGAAAACTGGAGACTTTATGTGTGGATTATAACCCCATTCTGGCTTGAAGGGTGTGGCATGTCTGAAGAGTTATTGTCAGTTCTTTTTCAGGGAATGTCTCCAAAGTAAAGGAGACTAAATAGAAAATAGTCTGAACTAAGGTTAAGAAATTAATTTCAGCATAAATGGGTTCTTTGTGATTGAGAAATAGACAAACGTGCTTTCCTTCCTTGAAAGAACTTACACAGAGGACATTTCCAGGAAAAGCACACTGTATTGTAGGACTTTTCAAGAGATGTTAGTATGCAAAATTTGTAAATAATGTGTGAGTATTCTTTTAGCTGAAATGTTCCTTTTTTATTTTACTTTCAACTCTTGGAAGAGACCCCGGCTCCTTTCCTGTCACTGTCTTGTACTGGCAAAATGGATGCAAGAGATTAAAAATGGTAGAAAGGAAAATAGAAATCTTCAGCATAAAGAAATTTTGGAGGAAAAAAAAAGGAATATTTATTAACGTGCCTTTTAAAATAGGATTTGTGGGTAGTGGGTCAGTGTGTTGTTCGTGTTTGTTTAAAAATCTCATTCAGTGTATGAATGAAAAGAAGGCATGGGTTGCAATGGCACTAATTTCTTAAGATCTAATAACACTCTGTGTGTTAGTGTTCAGTTGTGCTGTGGCCGAACTTAAAATTCAGGTGTTTTCAGGACAGATTTTTCTCTCCAAACAGGAACAGCTATTCACTATAGTGCACAACTGTACTTTGTACCTCCAACAACCTGGGTATGATTATTCAAAAACTAAAAACAAATTAATGTGTCAGCAGATGGAATTTAACTGTAATTGTATGTCTGATAACTGTAGGTATCTTGGCAGAGATAGAAATGGTTATCTTTAGGCTGATTATACAAAATAGCACTTTGTTAACACTTGTGACTTAGTTACTTGTAGATCTTTGTATATTTGTTTTCTTTACAGTAAAACACTCAAGGTAAGAGAGAAACTCCAATTCAGTGTAATTTTTTTGAAGCACCTCTGTCAACGTTAATCATACTCTATGTTTTTTTCAACCGCTCTACCATCACAGGTCATTTTAGACAAAAATCTTTGCTAGGCTTTTTTGACTGATTATCTGCATTTCATAGACATAAGATAAAGTATTTTAGCAAAAAAATCTTGGAAGCTTTTTCCATATCTATACAACATCTAAAAATTGATCCATTTCGCGGGTTAAAAAAGAAATAAAAAATCTCCAAAATGTGTTTTAAAATATTTTAGTAGAGTGGACGTTTCCGAGCTGAAGGTTTGAAGAAGCTACCTTGCTAGAAATAATGCTATTAAATGAACGAAAATAAATGAAAAATAAATTATTAATTAATAAATGTTATAAATAAATGTTCTTATTTACTACATAATAAATAGTATTGATTGACTGCTGTTTTGAAGAACAGGAATGTTTTTTCCTTTCAGCCTGACTTTTTTGTATATATGTTCAAGCACTTTGAAGTTCAATGAACCTTTCATATATAACATACTTAGTAAATGGATTTTTAGGGTTGTATTTGTAGTTGTGCAAGCACTGTCTGAATTTGTCTTCTACCTGTTATTCCTGAATGAAATACTAAAACGCCTTTGTTCTAAAAATGCATTGTTCCAAAGAATGAAAAGTGTGCAGCATTCCTATCCAAAATGATTTAAAAAAAAAAAAAAAGCGTTCATGAAAATTGACTTAAAAAATGTCTCTTTTTTTTTTTTTTTCCCAAAGGGTACACAAGAGACACATCGTTTCTTGCAATGGTGGTGGATATTGTCCAGGAGTTGAAACAACAGAATTCTAACCTAGTATATGGTAAGGATGTGTATTACAATCCTTTCTGCTTCATCATTGTATATGCCCATCATTTTCATATTTTAGGATGAAAACGCTGTTCTGATGTTACCCAGCATTTCACAACCATCTTGTGCTCTGATCTGGCTGGGACCAGCTGAGGCTCCAGTGAAGTTTTATTTCAGCATTGCTTAAGTGTTTAGGGAGCTGTTTTTTTATCTTTCTGATTTTATGCCTTTCAGTGTGTTTCTTGCATTATGCACTCCAAAGGAGAATGCACCTTGAAGACTGATTGTATCAAAGAAAGACTTGTAAAATCCCAACTGGCTGCTGCTGTTTGTAGTTCAGAGGGCTCCAAAGGAGAATGCACCTTGAGGACTGATTGTCTGTGTCAAAGAAAGACTTGTAAAATCCCAGCTGGCTGCTGCTGTTTGTAGTTCAGAGGCACAGGCTGTAAGTGCTGATAGCTGAAGCCTCTCCTTGATTTCTGAGTCAGTCAAAAGCAGGATAGACTCTCCTGTGTTGCCTTGCCATGGTTTCATGTTATATCCCAGAAGTGTCTTACTGTGCCTTATAAGCTTCATAACTTAGCTTAAGCTCCAAGGCTTTCTTAACTCTGGTACCCCTCTTCTAAGATTACCTAGGAGCACTCAAAGAGCAACAGACTCTAGAAACTGTTGTCATTAACTTGTCACGTCAGGCTTAAACCTGTGAGAAAAGATTCTCCTTTTTCCTTCCTGACTCTCTGACTGTTTCAAGACTTTTGAACATAACCAGCATAGGCTTGAATTGAGGAAAACATTTTGAGTGACAGGGCAAAGTCAGTGAGGGTTTAGTGGGATAAAAAGCTGTGAATGATGGGTTGAGCCTGTCGTCTTCAGGTTCAGTAAACTGGTCAGGTAACATCTATCATGGTTTGCAGGATTTGCAAGGTGTAATACTGCGGAGTGTGGTATCTGACAAAATTAATAAAGCATGTTTCTCATCTAGAAAAACTTAGCAGAGATATCTTCATGAGCTCAGGTTTTGTTGCTTTTTAGCCTCTATTAAGACTGTTGCATTGTCAGGTTCTCCAGAGCCTTGTACTAGTAAGTGGAAGCTAAGTACTCTGTTGGAGTATGAGCAGAAAGAAACATCTGGCTGTATGGAACACGAAGGAAGTGGTGAGATAGTGAGAACACAGCTAGGCTTCTAAGATCCTTTCTGTTTAATAAATAGATTATAAAGTAAGGAAAATACTTTTTGAAATCTAAACCAAATTACCCTCTTTTTAGTCATAGAAACTTCCTTAAAAACTGAAGGGACATTGATTTGATACCTTTGGATTTGTATTTCTTTTTTATCTTGATAAAAGCTCTTTTAATACAATGAACAATGTTCCTTTTTAAGGTACAAAGCTAGGCTGTTTCCATCCTCACTTTGAAGCTGAGGGCACTTTGAATATGTTGTTAATACTGCTGATGATTCAGAACCTGTGCCAAATGTGTGTTAATATTATTACACCAAGTCTGAGTTTATGTACTTTGGCATGGATTTTTTTCTTGTTTCATTGTAATACCCTTTTTTTTTTTATGTGTTTACATAGCATTTTGGTATGTATGTTTTGCATGTGTCTTTTTATGCTAAAGTAAAAGTAGAACTCTGTTCACAGTTACTAGCTTCTCCCATGTTTCTTCCCCACTGTGTACCCCTGTTCCAGAGTTTTGGGCTGGGGAGTGAAGGGGAGGGCTCTCTGTTTTCAGTAACAAAAGCCCCTTTTCTCCCAGCAGTCAGACCCTCTCATCCTCATCACCCTCAAGTATAACAATGTGGAAGCAGGCAGGAGAGGGTGACTTCAACCCTTTGACAATTGTTTGAGACACATGGCCTACCTTTCAGAATTTGCAGCCACCAGTTACAAATTTCAGGTTGAGTGTGCTGCAAGGGCTGTGAGAGTATGCAAGCTATCAGGTGCTCAGTGCTGTTACATAGCCACTACTGTTACCTAAAACTTTTCCCTCCCACCAGGGTCTCTATAACTGTACCCCATTTCTAAAGCTAGATTTATTCTGTTACAGTATGTGATCCAGTGATGGGTGACAAATGGAATGGAGAAGGCTCTATGGTTAGTACTTATCTGTTTGGATTCTCTGTATAATGAATATCTACTATATAAAGATGTGTAAAAATTCATTAATTTTTTAACACCAAAACTAAGCTACTTTACTTAAGTGTGGCTTTGGATCCCAGCATCAAGTAAGTTTGTACTTAATTTTCCTGTATCTGTATGAGTTTAGTATCTGGGAAGAATGAGGGATGCATAGCCCTGGGATTATTTTGAAGCCATCGCGGAGACAACAGGTGGAATACAGACCCTGTCCGCAGGAAAATGTCCTCCTGCTCCCCTTCCTCATCTCACTGGAGTTCCCTCATGTTCTGTCAAGAGCTCTGTTATGCTGGTAGCCTGGCTGGCTTTGTCAGTGATTGTGTGGATTGACGTACCACTTGAACCTAAATGAAGATGACTTACTTTGTGTGAGATCCAACAGCTGTTAGGCGTTGGGTTGTGATCAGTGACAAAAAGATTCTGTGTGCGAACACCAGACTGCATACTAACAAAGAAACATTCATTTTTGATCAAAACTAGCAAATAATTTCAGGAAAAAATGCTGTGTGGGAAGACATCAGCAATAATGATATTTTATGTTTTCTTCTGCCTTAGCTAGTCATGCACTATGAATTCCTCTTTGTCCTTGTACCTTTTTACAGTTTACCTGCTCATAAAACGTCACATGAAGTAGCACTTAGTAATAAATTTGCCATTGCTTTTGTGTTCTATTCTTTCATTTTACATCTATTGCAATATTTATTGTCCTTGGCTTTTCCTAACAAGGCAGAGATCTAACAGCTGTAGAGTCACCTTGCAAAGCTTTAGCTCTTGGGAGAAGTCATAACCATGGGCCTGCCTATGTCTTTTGGGTGATAAGGTAGATGGAAGAAGAGGAGAATATTTAACATGCAACCTACCAACTCATTCCTGCCATAAAAAGTAATAAAATCATTATTTAAAATGCCTTGGTTTAGATGTGACCTAGTCTTGCATTTCTGTGTCAAGGCAGAGTCCCTGTGACAGCATTGCTTCACCATGGCTGCATGAGTGACCTCAGTTATCAGTATGACAGGTTTTCTGGTAGCACCTAGTGGTCAACAGTGTGGTGGGCTTGTACCTGTTGCTGATCCAATTGGAATGGGAAACAGTAGCACATGGGCACATGCATACAGGCACCTTGCCCTGCATAGCTTATGAGACAAACAGAGAAAATAATACCCCCTTTTTTGTCCATGTTTTAATCCTGATTTAGCAAATGTGGTTCTGCCAGAAAATATCAGCTACTAGTAAATAATGAACTTTAATAAAAGGTTTTGTTAAATTGATTTACAGCAGGACTCAGGAAGGTGAGGTGACCCCTGTACCCATCTAACCTGAACTCCCAGCCGAGTGTGTGCCAAAACAGCTGATGCTTTTCAGCTTTGAGTCTGAAGAGCATACAGGCTAGTGGGCTCCTGTTATGTCTTAGTGTATGTCACCTGCTTAGACAACCGATCTTCCTTTGCTGATGGGCTGTATTTAGCTAATGAGGATGGGATAGAGATGGAACAGACAGGCAGAAAGGGGAGCATTGGCCCTGAGATTCTGCAGGCAGTGAAGTATGCTAGCCATCTGTTAGACTTGGGTGAAACACAAGCAAAGTGTTTTTAATGTCTGTATTGGAACTGCTTTGTAGATTAAGTTGCACCAAACAAATTACAAATCTGATTCCCATTCACACGTGTTGATGTACAGCACACCCTAGAAATCCTGCACTGATAGAAGGAGGCAAAATAACACGTAGCATGGACATTACTTATTCCTAAACCCCATGATGCAACACAATCAATGTGGGCACACACTGCTGTAGCAAAGGGCCTCTGTACTGTTGGTACAACAACAAAGTAGTTTCTTTTGGAGGTAAGGACATGTGAAAGGGTTCCCTGTGTTGGGACACTTTATTTCCTCATGCTGCTTTGTCACCTTGGTGAGACGGAACCTGAAAGTTCTTCATCCAGGCACCACTTCCTTTTAATGCTGCCAGTTTAGGCCTGTCTGCTTAGCGGTGCTTCCATCACGTCCAGTGACAGAAGGGCTGTTGGTTGTACTGTCACCAGCTGAAGGATGCATTGCCACCTTAGTTACTGCTGCATAACAGTACACAGGGAGCTGTCAGGTTACTCAGTGACAGCATGAACGATAGTTGAGGGAAGGAGGGTTGCAGTCCCACATCTCAGATGCTGCTGACAACATTTGATACTGTTTCTTCTCCCCTAGTATGTGCCCAAGGATCTCCTCCCAGTCTACAGGGACAAAGTTGTACCTGTTGCTGATATAATTACTCCTAACCAGTTTGAAGCTGAGTAAGTACTTATTGCCTTTTATAGACAAATAAGAGTGGGGATAAAAGCAGGGGAGACTGATACCCATTCTTTTGTTTGTCTCAATACAGTGCTGTATGTATGTATGTGTTGGGTTTTGGTTTTTAGCTGTTACTTTCAAGTGGTGATTTTCAGCAAACCTCCAACTGTTCCGTATTGAAACCAATAAAAAAATCTGGGAGTCATGTGAGGAAAAGATTTCTCTTGTTTCCTCTGATCTCTCATTTTCATGATTACTTATTGTTGTCTCCAGAGGCCTGTATCTAGGACAGGTTGAAAAACTACCTCTCTTCCTTTTCTGTCCTTACCCATTCCTAGAAAGATTTTTATTATATGTCAGAATATCAAAACTGAAATAGTTTGACTCAAACCCCCAAAATTAGATTCAGAAATACCACCATGCCAATATCTCGTAGGAATTTAGAATTTAAATGCCTCCTGCCCATCCTATCTGCATAGCTGTGACTCTTTGGTCAGGAGATGATCTGTTGTGATACATCACAGGCTGTCCCCCTAAGGGGAGGGAGCAGCTACACGTGAGATGGAGAGAAGACACTTGTGAGGGAATTTTTATGATACAGGGACCTCTATAGAAGGCAGGTTAGGACTGATGTGAGTCTGCATCAGAAGCACTGTGTGTGTATGCACATAACTTTTAAAGACAGCAGTCTGGTACGGCAGAGCACGTAGGTACAAAACATTGAGGCCTGTATGGTGCAGTCCAAGCTTTCTTCCTTTTAGAGAGTAAACAAAGTAGTCATTGCCTGGAGAACTTGTGCTCTTTTAAGATTCTGTTTCATTCTCAGGTTACTCACGGGCAGAAAGATTCACACAGAAAAAGAAGCTTTAGAGGTAAGTAGGCAAGGGGTAGGATGTGTAAGATCCTTTTTCTATGTTCCTGCCTGCAATGCTGCAGTTTGCCATTTGTCTTTAACCTTGAAGTCACTTTGACCTCTATCCTTTCTCTCCATTTATCACTTTGGCCTCTATCCTTTCTCACCGTTTATCATTAAAGCTTGCGCACTCCAGGTGCAAAACACTTTGCTCTAGTGTCAGGCTTCTGAAGAAACTTCCCGAAAGAACTGCAGATATAGGCATTACAGTAGTAATGACTATAACTCTGTGAGCTTGTTTTCCTGCAGTGTGAGAAGGGTAGCAGCAGCACAGATGGCAAGTAACCACACGTTGTCAGCGCTGTGGAAATGCACTGGTTGGGGTGAAAATCCTGGGTGAACCTGAGCGTTAGAAACCTGCATGAGTCGCTCCCTCTGCTGTCCATATGTGAGTCGTGCAGCAGCAATGCTGAGTGTTGGGACAGCCGTTCCTCATTCTCCCATAGAGATTGTTGCAAGAGAGCTTACTAGCAAACTCAAACAAGGATTTATTGAATACGCGCTGAATCTCTTCCTGACAGTGTTTGCTGGTGCTCTGTTTCTCTTCCTTAAATTGACTCAAAGTGGATGAGACCTGGGTTGCAAAAGGATAGATTGCATAGGTGAGAAGGCAAACTGGGAGTGATGGCCTTTGGGTACTTCCTGGTGAAAGACAGACAAATCCACAGCATTGATAGCTGCTGTCATTGCCACACAGAGATGATAGATGGAGCACAAATATACTGCATTGAGGTGTAAGGATCTACCCTTTTACACAAACTGAAGAAAATGAAAAGCTGCAGGGCTTGGTGATGAAGGACAAAATAGGAATATGGTTTTATTGGTATCTTGAGAAGGGCTGAGCACTTTGTTTTGTTGACTAGTCAAGTGCTTTCATAATGGACTGATGTTATTTCTTCCAATTTGGTTTTGGACTTCAAAGGAACACAAAATCTTTAAACAAACAGCAGCTGCAGTGGCACCCTGGAGAGTAGCTGGGGTCTGTCAGCACGAATGTTTGTTGGTTTTTTTCCTCAAGCAACCTCATGCAACGTGGGTTGATTACCATCTCTTCATGGCAGGAAGCAGCTCTAAAAATCTCAGCTCTTTTAAGTTCCCCCCCTTCCAGTTTTACATTACCCCACTGTGCTGGGCGAGGGCGATCAACTGTGCTTCATGCCACTAGCTACTAATTACAACCTGGTTCTTCTATTCTCATCCTCACCAGTGGAATCACAGTCTTGAGAACAGCACTGTTAGCTGAGCAGCCATTAGTTTTACATTTACGTATTTCAGCTGCAAACACGAGTTGCATATGCTAAACATTTTTACGAGTTAGTTTTCTGACAGTCTGTCTGATTCATGTAATAGCTCTTATTTGTGATGGGTTTTAAAAAAATCTCTTCTAAAGAGATAGAATTATACTTAGGAATGGAAACATTTTAAAAATAATTTTTTGCAGGATATTATGCTTTAATCTGTCTGTCTCCCCAGCTACCTGTCATATGTAGGTCTGTCCTTCTGAGTAATAATCCATGCTGGAATTTGTGGTAGGAGTTCTGTCATCGATTTCCATGGCGACATGCTTTCATTAACTTCTTTAACAAGACTAGTGACGACAGTATAGTCTTCTAACAAAAAGTTAAATGTGACATCATATTAACGTAGAAGGGACTAAGTCCTACAACTAGAAATACTGTTGGTTAAGTACTTGGTGAACTGTGAGAAATGAAATTGAGTTTAATGTTACTTCACAGGTTGGTTATGTCATTATATGCTGGTGGATTTACTACTGCTTTAAAACCCAACTGATGTCTGTGCAAAGAGGTCTGACGGTTGAAGAAACTTGGAGGCTTAGACAAGAAAGAAAAGCAATAGAGAATTAAAAAATAGCAGAAATAAGTCCTTATCATTCAGCTGCTCATGAGTCATAGCTAGCCTGAGAGGATTTTTAGTTAAACTCTTCTGGGAGCATTAATATTTTATGTGTTTTATGCTAAACTCGTTATTGAAGTCATTCTTTCTTCTGTGAAATCAAAATCACTTCTGTAGCAACTAGTTGTGATGTCGGAAGTAGAGTATTAATAGAGTTTAAGCAAGGAACACACAGAGTAGAAAAACACCTGCAAAGGTACGTAATTTGCAGGTGTAATTCGGGGTTTGAAACAGAATGAGAAAAAAGAATGAGACAGACACACTTGTGCCTGTGATTTAGCTCTTTGACTCTTCGTTTTTGCTAAGTCTTAAAGTAGTAGCTAAATAAGATTTCATGACCTGGAGTTCACAGAATCACAGAATGGTCCGGGTTGGAAGGGACCTCTGGAGATCATCTAGTCCAAACCCCCTGCCAGAGTAGGGTCACCTACAGCAGGTTGCACAGGACAGCATCCAGGCGGGTTTTGAATATCTCCAGAGTGGGAGACTCCACAACCTCTCTGGGCAGCCTGTTCCAGTGCTCTGCCACCCTCAAAGTAAAGAAGTTCCTCCTCATGTTAAGATGGAACTTCTGTGTTCAAGTTTGTGCCCATTACCTCTTGTCCTATCACTGGGCACCACTGAAAAAAGACTGGTCCCATCTACCTGGCACCCTCCTTTTAAGTATTTATAAGCATTAATAAGATCCCCCCTCAATCTTCTTTTCTCTAGACTAAAGAGACCCGAGTCCCTCAGCCTTTCCTCATATGAGAGATGTTCCAATCCCCTAATCATCTTTGTAGCCCTTTGCTGGACCCTCTCCAGCAGATCCCTGTCCTTCTTGAACTGGGGAGCCCAGAACTGGACACAGTATTCCAGATGCGGCCTCACCAGGGCAAAGTAGAGGGGGAGGATGACCTCCCTCAACCTGCTGGCTACACTCTTCTTGGTGCACCCCAGGATGCCATTTGCCTTCTTGGCCACCAGGGCACATTGCTGGCTTGTGGAGCTATTGGCTTTCTAGCAAGTGTTTCAAGGTGCCAGGTCAGGCACACGTGTCTATGTATTTGTTCTCTTATTCTTTTGATAATACGTTCTGAAAACATGATGCAGAAAGCAATTCTGATCACAGCTGAAACAGAATATTCTTTTCAGAGAAGCATCCAAAGATACTACAGAGATGCTTGTATATTTTAACAAGTGTGTATGTTTAAATACAGATGTTTTAATTCCCCTATTTCAAATTAATTCCCCTAATTCAAGTGAATTCTTTGAGTAGAAACTGTTTTTTCTCTTTACAAAAGATGCCAAAGTAAGGTGCTCGTCAAAAATCCTCAGTACTGTGAATGATGTGAGGTTTAATCAACACACCTTGCAGTCTCTGATCCCTGCCTTTTTGCCCATGGAAAGGTAATGGATATGCTCCATGCCATGGGACCAGAGACTGTGGTGATCACAAGCTCAGATCTCCAGGCACCTCTAGGAAATGACTACCTAATTGCTCTGGGAAGCCACAGAAAAAGTAAGTAATGAACTTTGTTTAACTGTATTTTCTTTTAACCTATTCTGTGCTTTCAGTTACTTTCTAAGTAGTAGTTTCATCAGACCCATCTGAAGTGCATGGAAGGAGCTTAGATCCCTAAGTGAACTACTTCTCCCACAGTAATATCAGAGCGGTAAGAATGGGACTGCTCCATGAGGGAAGATGTGCTGGGAGCTGAGAGTGATCATAGCACAGGCAGAGCACTGCATTCACCAACAGGGCACAGGCCCACAGTGTCTGAATAAGGTGAGCAGAACAGAGGTGGGGATGGCAGACAGGTACCATTGACAGTCCAGTGACCATCAGAGAAAGGTTAGACAAGCCAGGTCGGAGATTAATCTGGAAAATCCTGTCAGTAAGTCAGGGCAGCAGGGCTGTACACAGGTACACCTACATCATAGCTCAGGCAAGGATGCTTGCGCCCAGGTGTGAGCTTCCATGCAGCTCCTGGGCAAGTGGGCAAAGGTTGCATGGGAGGAGGATGTCCCAGGTGAGGTTGATCACGGCTGTTAAAGACCCTAGTAGTGGCCCAGACAAGCAGTGGTATAAAACAAGAACTTTGAATGTTTTGAATGCTTTTATGAAAAGTTATACCGTCCTGTTAGCAGATTGTTCCTCCCCTGATAGGTTGTATAATGACCTTCTGCTTCTTCATATCCCCTTTTATGTGGTCACCAAGATTCACTGTGTGTTTGGACTGTTGCAGGGTGTTTTTACCTGAGAAGGGCATAGTTACGTGGGATAGTATATGATCCCGTTTCCTTGTTCATCTAAGGGATGTAAATGTGGGCATCACATTCTGGACTGCTGAGAGATCAGAAAAGTCTTGATATTTAAACCAGATTCCACTAAGAATCAGTCAGTGGGTCTTAGCACTCAGTACATGTCAGGTCTGGAATGAGTCTGGTCATTCCAATGGTGTTTGCAATAACAGCAGATGGATCAGATATTCTCTGCTGATCTTGTGCCTCCATGCAACCCAGAGATACTCTAAATTATGGTTTGGGATTCAGCAGTCTCCATAAATACATGGTTTCCTGAGCAAGCTGCTGTTGCTCTCTAAATGAAAATAGGTGGCTCTCAATACTTCATGAAAATGAAGGTGCTAGCTACCTGCTCGCTCTTAAGTGAAGTATGTACAGTATATAAGTTGTAAATGCTATTCCAACTTGGCAATGTTTTGAAAGGTCGCACCTTTTAAAAGAGCTGGTACAAAGTTTACAATACTCCTTAGCAACTTTGTGTTCCAAACAAATAAGAATTCAAATCTGGCGATCACTTTTAAATTATAGTAAATGCTATTGTATTAATTGCTGGGACTGTTACTTAACTCTCTGTCTGTGTTCTAGCTAAAGCAGATGGTACCAAGATGACACAAAGAATTCGAGTGGAGTCTCCTAAAGTGGATGCTGTCTTTGTTGGAACAGGAGACTTGTTTGCTGCTATGCTTTTGGCGTGGACACATAAACATCCAAACAATTTGAAGGTATGGGAGGAGTTATTAGTCTCTCTGCAAGTTCAGACTATGTTTCCTTTTTTTTTTTTTTTTAATTACTTCTAATCGATGACATTATTTAAAGACTCTCTTCTGTTTTGGCTTTTTTTTCCTCACCTCAGAGAAAAAAAGCTTAATTTCCCTTTTGTGAAAACATTTTAGCTTGTACAACTTTGGACAATCACATTTTAGTTACATGGATTTTGTAATTTTGGCAAGTAAGATGTTCTTCTCTCCATAGAGAACGAGAGAGACTGCACGCATGTTTGCAATTATATTTTTTTACCCTCACTTTATAATAAGCACTGAAAGTCATTCATCAGATCTATTTTTCTGTTTCTCTCGCTTAACACGTAGAGTCCTCGATATGGGTGTATAGGTGTTTCTAATACCTGTTTTGGGAGAGTTGAGTCTAAATTTTTTTTCCCCCAAACTCTACATTGCATAGTTGTCATCCCCTTTGTCCTGTCAGTCATGTTTGCCTCTTAATAGCAGTGTTTTTGAAATAATAATATTAAACTAAGCAGCTGAAATTTTGCTAAAACCTGAATATATTATGTTAATGCAGGTGGCATGTGAAAAGACTGTGTCAGCCATGCAACATGTTCTGCAAAGGACCATTAAGAGTGCAAAAGGTAATTAATTCAAACCTTGTTCCCTTGTTCTGTCTGGATTTGTGTCAGAAAAAAACATTCAAAGAGCTTTCTGGGTTTCCTGATGAAAGGCAGCCCTCAGTGCCGAAGCAGCCCGAGAATTTACAGAACGAGAGCTTGCTAGTCCTGTCAGTGTGTGTTCCTTGCTGTGTCCTCCAAGCCTATTTTTGACAACACCCGACTGAAGATGTCACTGTTTAGCTTGTAGTGGGACTACAGTCATGCTGACTGCGCTTGGCTGCGGAGGAACTTGAGGAAATGCTGAGTTTGACATGCAAGAGAGCTTCTGGTTTAAGTATAGCTCACTCACTTTCCCTTTGAGTGCATGTGTGCAGTATTGAGAGGGATTTATCAACTAATAATAAACTATCTGCTCTGTTGGCCATGTGAGATGCGATTTTTTTTCAGCTCTCCTCTTAGAGTTCCCACGTCTTTCAATTCCTAAGGAGACCCAGATGGGATCTGTGGGTTCTCGGAGCATGTCTGTGTTACTTTCTAATAACTGCAGAGCTGTGTTTCTTTCCTGGAGAGAGGTGCAGAACAGGGGTGATAAGAAATCATAGTACTGACCTGGATCTTCCACCTTGGAAGCCTTTAACAGGAGTAGTAAGAGAGGTTGGGGAGGGGAGGGGGGAAGAAAAAATAGTGTGATAACAGAACAATGTAAGTTGTTTCTTTTTATACTGCTGTTTTTAATGACGTTTTGATGTCATCTTTTTAGCACAAGCTGGAGAAGGAAACAAACCAAACTCAGCCCAGCTGGAACTAAGAATGGTCCAAAGCAAAAAGGACATAGAAAACCCAGAGATCATAGTGAAAGCCACCGTGTTATAAAGGCTGTACGTCTCCAATAACGCACAATGTATTGATGTCCTCATTTCTTTCCTGTAAATTGTAATATTTGCCTTAGATCTGTGACAGAAACCTGACTTCATGAAATAGTGCCCAGCATAGGCAGATATCCACTCTCAAACATATGGGCTGGCCTTGCTCAGTTTTAAAAACGAAACGGTTAGTGTGCATTGAAGCATATTACCAGGTATCAAAATGGCTGTCAAATTCACTTTGTCTGTGTAATTACCCAGGGCAAGGGAGTACAATGTTCCTGCCTTGCCAAAGACTTTAGATGTGAATTTGCTGATGGAATGCTTGACTGACTGGAAAATATATTTCAAGACGGCATCTCGTGCCAATGGAGCTGGCTCCGTGCTCCCTTTTCCTGGAGATATCTGGTTACCTACTCTGGTATTCAGTATCTCAGCTGCTATGAAACTAAGCAGGGTTTAAAACTACACACACAGTGCTGCTTGTGTGTAGGAGTACTTTGAAGATGTTTGGCATTTAAGTACTCTGAAATGACCTTGAGGTGTCAATCATGTAACTGATAACTGCTCCTGTTTCTTGTCTATGAACAAGTGCACAGTTTCAGCTTTTGCAGGTATTGGCTGCTTATTTCTAGTGTCTGTGGGCGCCCACATGATGTTTTCCCAAAAGCTGCTCCAGAAACATCTTCATTAATAGGATAATATCTTTATTCAATAGCACTGATTAGAAGTCTGTAGTTCTAGTTCTACCTCCGAGGCCAGGTTTGATTCTTTGTTTAGTTTTTCACTAAGGACGAACATTCTGTAAGGACAAAAGAGAAAGCAGCTCTTACCCTGAAAGCTGGCTACCCTAGTTTGTTCTTCGTAGGTAGATGTATTTACAAACTACATAGGGCACTTCCACTTACCAATAGTGAGCACTATTGGCAGGCTTATCAATGACGCAATGTGGTCAAAATAATATTTTTGGTTTAGTAAGTTACATATGTTTACCAAATGCAGTGAAGCATACAAAATGAATTCGTTCGTAATTTAAGTGTTGATTAGAGATGATGGAAATGCATTATTATTAATGCATCTTTATTTCAAAATTCTGCTTCATGAGGCTTCAAAATGGGATTCTTAGTTTCAGCATCATATACATCACAGCCACATATTATACCAGTAGGGCAGATATGCTGACAGGTACTGACAATTTGTACTACTTTGATTTCTACGCGGGACTGAGATTCTTGCTTCTCCCAAGATGAGGTCTATTGTGTTGTTAAATCCAAATTCAGGTGATGAGCTTTGTTCATCTCAGACTGCACAGGGAGCTTAAAACCGCATTTCTACTTGCAGTGACGTGAAACAAATTTGCATTAGGGGAAAGGGCTGAGTTTTTCTTGATTACCTGAGTATGCTCAGGAAACTCACTCTTGAGTATCTCCCAGATACCTTTCCTGCATCTTCCTTGTCACAGCTGCCTAATGGATAGTGTCACTTGCATAGCTTGGGAGTCCCCAGAAGAGCTGGTTTGGGAGATTGCTTTAACCACTGAAGTCTTCACTTCTCCCACCGTTTTTGTGAATTTTCTGCTATTGTAAATATAGATTTTTTTCATAGCATAAGATTTCATAATACATTTCTGAAATCCCTCATTTTCGGTATCTCTGAAGCAAGTGAAATTTAAGAGATGAGTACGTTTTGCAGTAAATGGTAAGAGGCAAACTTCAGGCTTTCACTCTCAACAACTAATAATAATTTTATTTCCTCTTATGCATTTAGCATTAAAAGTGAAAAAAAAAAAAAGACTTGAGAATTTTAAGGGGAAAAAAAAACCCAGAAATTACCTACAAAATGTGACTCTCCTGCCACAGTTTTTAGTAACCACTGCCTTGAAATAACTTGCTAGCAATAATAGTTTTGGTGATGTGAACAGTTGCTAAAATTAGCAGTCAGTAACAGAGATGAGCTCATGGCTGATATCCAACATGTAAAAAGACATGAACTATCTTAACAGTGTCTATAAATACCTGATGGGAATCAGTGAAGAAGAAGAAGAAGCCAGGCTTATCTCCATGGTGCCCAATGAAGGGATAAAAGGCAATGGGCATAAATTGAAATACAGGAAATTCCATTTAAACATTAAAAAAATTTAATTCACTGTGAGGGTGATCAAACACTGGCACAGGTTGCCCAGAGAGATTGTGGAGTCTCCATCCTTGGAGGTACTCAAAACCTGACTGAACATGGCCCTGGGCAACCTGCTGTACTTGACCCTGCTTGCACAGTGGGGTTGGACTAGATGAACTCTGGAGGTCCCTTCCAACCTCAGCCATTCTGTGAAGTACAACAAGTTGCCTTTCTTTGCAGTGCTGTAATTTTAAATTGGTGCAAATACTTTTTTTTTTCTCTTCCTGAGACACAAACTTCCAGATAAGCTATGAAATAGCCCACTATCCATCATTTCCCCCCTTCTTAGATAAGCTGCTTTTTGCTTGGACAGTTGTGCCAGGAATACAATTGCCACCTTTGAGATAGTTGCTTTCAGCAAAGACATTTAAATACTGTAGCTGGTGATGCATTTTAACAGTTGAACACAAAAGGATTTTAACTGTTTCTAGCATTGGTTAAAGAAGTCTTGCATGCCATCTTCCCAACATAACTCTGAGTTTATTTATCTTTTAAAATTAGACTATTCGATATGGAAGCATATACTCCCTACCATCCTCTCGGGAGGAAGGGATCAACGCACTGAACTTTCCTGCATGTACATATCATGGTTGACTGCAGCATTATGCCTGACACCCTCACTCAGCTGTATCCAGTTTTGCAGCTCCCTGTGGGTCACATATAAAAATCATCAGATGGCCAAGCTTTGAGACCTCTACTGTGTCCTTCAGATTGCCAAGAATTAGATGAATCCCAGGAGCAGTTCACATGCAGTAAATGACATTTGATTTCTATGGTCTCACGGCTCCAGCACAGATGGCTCTCAAAGTGGCTCCTGGTGCACTGTCTCCTATAGCCGGGGCTGTGGATTGCCCAGCACCCTGCACCAGCAGTGGCGTCATTGCCAGTCACGTAACACGGCCTTGTGGCCTTGGCTTGGGAGCCACAGGGGGCCAAAGTGAGAGCCATATGATGGTCATCCCTGCACTATTGCAGTGCAAAATTGAGGTTTTTCAGTTCTTCACATCAGGACATCAACAGGAGAGAGAAGCTCAAATTTGCCCCTCCCCCCCCCCCCACCCCTCCCTC